CTCCCTCGATTTTGCAGCCCTGGCAGAACACCCTGAACATCTGAGAGGTGGTGTATAAGCATTAGGTGTATCAACCTGTCCATGCCTTCTCCTTATAACCTGCATCTGCGTGGATGCTAGTAAAACAGACCTGTGAACATGCCACTGAAAGGCTCAATCAGCCACATCAGCGAAAAGTAATAGAGCTCTCTGAGGAGGAATGCAGGCCCCCACTACCAGCCCCACCTCCACTGCTGGAGCGATGCTGCGCATGTGGTGATAAACCTTACAGAACAGCCAAATGACTCTAGAAACATCCCAAATTCACCACTGAAGCCAAGTTCTAGGATTATAGGTTCTGCTAATTTTAGAAGTTGTGAACTGTGAATGCGACCAAGGTTGGAAACCTCCTTGGCTTGCCAAGCTTCACAACATGTGGGACCAACCTGCTAATGAGGGTTCAGCTTCTGCTGACCTGGTGGAACCCATTTGGGAGCACCCAGGGGCTTTGAGCCTCATAGAAGAACAAATTCTCATAAAGTACTTTCACTATGTGCTTCTCATACAAGCTCTGGGCAGAGGAATGCAGAACATGTATACTATACAGCACCCTCTCTAGCCTACAGTGATCTCCTAAAGATTTCGAAATGACACCCCAGACAGGAATCATAGTGCTCTCAGAGAATGGCCCTTTGACGTAGATTGCAGAAACTTTAAGCACAGATGCCCTTAGGTACCAGAGCGGTCGCACCATGCGGGGCTGGAGCAGTCACATAGAAGTGCCACGGCTTTGTTGGGGTCTGCAACTGCAATGCTGAGAGTGCACTGCAAGAAAGCTAACCTCCCCTATCCCTGGATGGATAGAAGACAAGTCAAGTGCATATTTGGATACATTTGTACAAGAGCTTTTCCAGTGGGACAGTGATGAGTCCCTGTGCAGTGTGGCTCTGCTTGTGCAGACTGATGGTCAGCATGGGCTGAGAATGAGATGTGCCAATCTGACCTGGGGACCATACCAGCGAAAGGTGTGAATGAAAGGGGGCAGGAGCATTGTTCCATGAAGCTTCTCTTCACCAGCATCCTCAAGCAGGTTTAGACATCCTCCAAACAGGTCGCAGCATCCTCAAAATCCAAAGGCAGGTTCCACTCTTCTAACCTCTACCAGATGCCATGCAAGCAATGTGAACAAGTGCAAGCAGTGCAGAGAAGACTAGCAATTACTGTTGATGCACTCAAGAGATAGGCAGAACACATTACTAGTCCAGGGCTAACTGTGTTCCTGACATTTACGTACATGCACATAAGTACATAGAGATGGGGACAGATGTGCATGCATTCACTTGCACCTTAGGTGATCTCTGTAGGTGGTACTTGAAGAAACTTTCTCCAACGCTCAGTAGCTTTTCCTGGAATGCTCCTGCAGTTCCCATTGATATCCTTTTTTAAACAAAGTTAAGCTTGCTTTGCAAGTACTTCTTGTTAAGATACTGACAAACAAATCAGTATTTACTGGCATTAAGAAAAGATGAGTCACTTGTTTGGGTGGGAGTTGATAACAGACCTTCAGGAAACAGAGCTCATGATGAAAATGTTTAACCAGTACTGACACCTCCGTACCTCCACAAAACGGCACATACATTACAGCATCTTTCTCCCTGCTGACCCTGGAAAGCTAAACAGTAAGGAGAGTAGAATAAAAATTTAATAAGATAGGTTGGTGTAAATGAATACTCAAAAAAACAAAGTGGACATGTATATGAGGGAGAAATGCTGTAACCACAAAAATTTAGACATAGTTCAGATTGTCACTTCCTGGTGGTTTCATGGGCTGCAAAATTGCTTCCAGAACAAAATGACAGAGGTTGGTGACATTGCCCACGTATGTAAATGATCACAGTGTCCTATGGAGATTAATTGATTCATGAATAAAGATGAGGAGCTGAGGTGTGCAAGGAGAAATCATTTATCAATTATATGCCTTGGAAAACTGAAAGATGATGCGGCCTTAACGGCTGAATGGGTTTGAAAGAGAGACTTGTAAATTGAGTTCTAATTCTGTTCTGCTGTATTCATAATAAAGAGCTGTTAAACTAATTGCATCCTTGTGTGGTTCATGAGCAATGGCACTCAGCTGCATCAGACAGCAAGCAACAGAGATCAGAGTTTAGTCAGATTCCAGTCATTCTTTGCCTCATCTAGGAAGGATGCTAACCAGTTACTTTTGGCCTCATCAGTAGTTTTAATGCACAAAAAAGGGCAAGTGCCATAAATATTTTTCAGGAGATTAATTTTGTATTTGAATCTGAATTTAAAGAACCAAGAAGGACAGCACAGACTAACTTGGCTTTTGTGTTCTGCTTCAGTTACTTGGATCCATTGTGATTATCCAACCCTAGAGGGCCTCGTTGTTGATTAACTGGAAACAAGGATTCTTAAGGGTCAAAACAGTAGCAAAATATGCTAATCCCAAACAGCAAAAAGGATCTGAGGGATGAGGCTGCTGGTAACAGCTGACCTCTCGTTCTACTGCCCCTTCTGTGTGCTTGTTAACAGGTTCGCTGACTCAGATCCGAGAATCTCGATGCAGGAAGAGGCTTGTTATTTAAAGTCTTGCTGCTTGACACTGTGAAAGCCTGGGATCAAAGAGACAGCCACACTTGTGTCCTTGTTGATCTTAGAGGAAATTTCTTGACACTTAGCTGCTGAAAGCCAAGGATGCCACTGATGGGAGTCACTGGAGATTACTCAGTGGCACTGCTGCGAATGCTCAAGACCATCTCCCTGCAGCAATACCAGTAGTTACTTTTTTGACTTGTTCTATCTGACCACTTTCTTGGGTCTGGCTCTCCTTCACCAGCAACAGCAGCTGCAGGAGCACAGCACAATGGCCAGGCACAGCCTGGTCCTGCTCATATTGATGTTGTCCACCTCCAAAAGGATAAAGTACATTTTGGGCGTTTTCATATTGACAAGTCACTTTGTCATCTCAGCCTCTAAGTCATTTCACTGTGGCTACGAACCACAGGCATAAGAAAGAATACACAGCACAAAGGTTTTGTGATCCTGTAATGTTTACAGAGGTCTGGCAGCATGCTCTGCATTCAGAACTCCTATAACCATCACAGACAAGCATGAAGCTGTATGCTGGTGCAGTAGGTGCTTGAGCAGTGATGGATACCCTGACTAGCTGGGACACGGGTACCTGGCCTGTTCTGCTGCCACCTTTTTCGTCACAGATATCTTAAACCTCCACACAAATCTGTGCCAAAGCCTGGTCTGGATGAGGTACAACATCTACGCAGCATCCAGAGGACATTAGTGTTACTATACATGAACGTGGAGAGGGAGTGGAGAGAAAGCAAATTTGGCCTAAAGAATGGATATCTCTTCAGAATTGCCTTTGAGGTGTCATTATACTTAAAAAAGCAATATACTAATGGCACCAGGAAGTTTATATACTGCCAGTCCTAAATCTCACAAGTGTAGTTTTCAACGAAGAAATCAACAGACTACTTTGTTAATTACCTGCTCTGAAAACTAGGAGCCGATTGTCCCTTATTAAATAAAAGCCTGTGCGTGTCCCAGTGCTACTCTAAAAGTTAACAGAAACCAACTGTCCCTCATTACTGCAAGGCTTCTGATCACATCTGCTATGGTAACACTTACAGGCACCAGCTCATCATAGCCCGTGGTCCACCCGTGGTAGAAGGAATAATTAATCCAGGTGCAGCAAAACCTTTGAACTTTCAACCAAGCAGCTCTTCCTCAGGGAATGCTGATTCATCAGAAGCAAAAAAGGATCAGTTTTGATGAATTTCCTAATTAGAGAAAAATACATTTATTCAGGGAAGGGAGCTCTTGAACAGTTGAAATCTCGCCTTGCAAGAGTTTCTAAATTCAATTTGATTTTCTCCAGGTCAAAAAAAAAAAAAGCAAGCATAGAAATGCAAGTTAATTTTCAATAAAATTATAAAAAGCCTTGAAATTGAGTAAAACCAAATAATGGTTGAAATGATGAAAATTACATACTTTGATTAACTCATTTGCTTTTATAGTTGCCCTTCACAGTGGTCTTTAAGACTGCATTATTATTCCCAGCTTATCTGGGAAATATTTCTCAGGTTCACAGAAATTCTTGAAGGTTAATAAACAATCTACTGTTGTGGGTAGAGCAAATATATCTTAATTTATGACTTTTGTAGCCCAGAATAGCTCTTATTGCTTGACCATAGCAAAGACCTGAATGTCCAAGCTGAGGGAGGGAGATATCTGGAACTCATGGTGTTCACTGGAACAAACAGCCTTCTACCTCTAAGCCAGTCACCCCAGCTCCAATGACCATGAATAGGAGCAGGTGTTTCATTACACTCTGAGATGTCTATAGAGATCACAGATGGATTAGTCCTGGAAAGAGGCCACTTCTCTGCAGTGCCAATGAAGCAGCATGAGATGGCTCACTCAGGTATAGTGGTCTGCACTGGGAAAGGATGAAGTTGGAGGAGATGGTGTTTCTAAGAGGACAAGACAAGTGGGTAGGGGTATGGTCAACATAAGGACAAATGATGACCCCTAACAGCTGGGTGGAAGTAGAGAAGTTAATGCTTAAGTTTCTCTTTTTTTTGGTCTTCCATCCTACATTTACTTTTCTGTTTATTTTGTTTTAACCTGTGCAGTGCCTTAACCACCACAAGACTCTAGTTTGTCCTTCCTCAGAATTTCATTTAGTGTCTTTAGTTTCCTCAAGCACCCAGTTTTGCTTTTTTGGGGGGATGTGAAACACTTTCAATACATACCAGAAACCCAAAACCAAGCAGGAAAACAGCAGCTTTCAAACAGGGTGTGAGCCACCTCTTTGCGAAAAGCTGAAGAACCCACAGTAAAAGCAATCAACATAAAAAAAAGTCTCACATTTTCCCAAACTTTCTTCTCAGGTAGTTAGTAGAAAGTGTTCCCTTTTCCTACTTAATTAATGCTTTAAGACATAAAGAAATATGATCTTTTATTTCCTTTGTTACCAGCAACCCCACTCCATCAGCTTTTCAATTTCCTCTGTTACACCTATCTCAGTAGGTTCAATTTTTCTCTGAATTTGTGTCTGTGCATCAGACATTTCCAGACAAAAGGGTGCCTGGATGGCCAAGCTTCATCTCCTGTATTTTATCCTCTGTTGGCAGCTTCCTTTTGCCTACATGAGGGAAGAGCATCTGAACCCCTGGTTTAAAAATCAACCCCTGTGGCACAGCACTTCCCCTGCTGTGAATGGCCTCTGTACCTTACCAGAACTTCCAATTTGTTTGAACAACACCTACAAAAGATAAAATAGGAACTATAAAATCTAGGTAAGGTGTCAGTGTTTTTTTTATTTTCCCTTTGGTGTCCAGTTTGGGGAGTTCCAGTGTTGGTGTATATTCACAGACATTATAACCCCAGGGTACTCACTGGGTAGCATCATTCACCTCTGCTGACTTCAGCCATCTAAAACTCAGCTGTCTGGCTTCTTAGGACAGATGTACCCTCTGTAAACATTACAGGATCACAAAACCTTTGTGCTGTGTATTCTTTCTTATGTCTGTGGTTTGTAGCCACAGTGAAATGACTTAGAGGCTGAGATGACAAAGTGACTTGTCAATATGAAAATGCCCAAAATGTACTTTATCCTTTTGGAAGTGGACAACATCAATATGAGCAGGACCTCCCCAGGGAGCTCTGTCATATTGACTTAGCCACCAGGAGCTTGGGAGCTTGGGCTTGAGATGAGAGACAGTAGTAAATTTTAACCACTCTTTAAATAACGTTTTTTAAATCAATAATGTGGGTCCTGAACCCTCGGCTTTCCAATTGCATTTAGTTTCATTGTGTATGCCATGAAGATGAAGTTTTGCCTGCTCTTTTTTACCCTACTTATCTGGATTCAGGAGAAGCATGTCTTCACTCTTTCAAGGTAAATATCTACTGGTACTACTGGGCTTTAAGAGTGTGGTGAGTGGGACAGGGAATGTACTGAGGCAGAATAACTCCAAGTCTCATAAGAAAACATTTGGCAAAGGCTGACATTTATTTATTGGTCTTGTAATTGGATATGTGGTTCAATTTAACATATAGATGATGGAGGAAATGAAATTATTCTAAGTCTTCTTTGCATCCATAAATCCCATGTTTTTAATCATATTAAAACTATTCTTTTTGGTCTAAGTGCCAATCAATTTTGTTCATTCAGTTCTTTTGAATGCCAGTAAAGGGCATTCTGAAACTTAATGGGATAAAATAATTTGCTTCATTTGCCTTAAAACAAGATCTTAAGTGAATTACTTCTTGAGGTAGAAAGATAAACCATTTCAGAAAGTGCTAACAATCTGTTTTCTTTCTAAAGCAGCTTTGATGATTGTTTTTCCAGTCCTAAATCATTTTTGAATAACCATTCGGTATTTGTACAATGTTCTAGAAGCAGCTTTATTGTTACCTATTGATAAATTTCAGAAATGCCCGGGAACCAAACTCTTTCTTAAAACACAAGGACATATGTCAGAGATGAAGACGGGCAAAGTGCTTTGATTTTCTACATGTACAGATGATTTAAAGAACTGAAATGTTTTAATAGGTAGAACTAAGAGGATAAGCCCCTTGTGGTGCTATTAAGCAAGCTGAACAACCTACAGGAATCACGATTAAACACAACCCGCTCACAGGACTGAAACACCCACACAAATAATAGTGAATTATGTCTCACAGCCCCTCTGTAACTCCACACCACATGCCAGTGGCAGACCTGTGAGAGATGAACACCACCGAGTTAATGTCTCAGAAGAGGATATTTCACCCCCATTTGTGTTACAATCCTGTTTTGTTCTAGATTGCTACAGAGGTGTGAGGAAGGTTACAGCGGGGGAGCAGTTAAACATGGTTTTAGGTTAATAGGGGGACAATTAAACATGTTTTTAAGTTAATTCAGTTGGGCAATACTGCTCTGTGCTACTTGAAGGTTCATCTATTTCATATTTTAATTAAATGATGAATATCTGACCCTTACAGAAGAATGCAACATTTCCCACTGAAAAGTCTGAGTCTAACTTTCCCAGCCCTATTTATAAAAATGGCTAAAACAATGAGATTTTAAAGGTGATATAACTGACTTTTTACTTTTATTTGGGTGCTAGTGTGGAAGGATTTAATGGTCATGTATTAAAGCTTGCTTTTGCAAGGTTATAGTGTGATTACTGCATTGTGAGACTTGTGAAAGAGTTGGGAACAGTGGAAAGACACACAGTTCACTTGTAGGGAAAGGGCAAGTGTGGCAGCTGACTGAGAGACAGCAAGGTGGGAGAAAAGAGCCCACAGGCAGACATCTCTGCTCGAGTCAGATGAACAGCTTACACGGTCCAGGAGAACGGGTGATGATGCTGGCAGCACTCCTCTAGTGACACTACCTGCCAGAGGCAGGTAAGACATTCAGCTGAAGACAGGTACGGAGGTCTCTTTTCTGGAGATGATAGTCACAACACGCAAGATTCAAATGAAGCCAGGCTATGAGGACAGAGAGACACATCCCTGCTGGTGCCTTGGTTTTGCGGCATGTGATGCCACTGGCATTCACAGTGACTGAGAAATGGAGAGGAGAGATGAAGAGACTGACATGCCAGAGAGCCAGCACTGATTTGCGACTATCTGTGAGAGGGTGGCCAGGGCCCATGGGTGGGATTCAGCTGACTATATGGGATTTCTGTAGAGTGCTGCATGGGAACAAGTCCCCTTCACCTCCTGTACAGCTAGTGGAGAAAAATATGTGTATTTGGGTTATAACTTATTCCAGTTTAGCACACACATCTAAATTCACTCAGGTTAACCAGACCCTGAAAATGTCTGTTTCTTTATTAGGAGTGACAAGCTCAGATACCAAAACCATCTAAAATGAGCTGTAATGCATCCCACTCACTCTGTCATAGCTACAAGTTAAGGCCTGAGCATTGTGGGGGATGGCAGCTGGACTTACTTTTGTCACCCAAAGAAAAAGTAGAGGCAAAATAGATGGGGAACAATGACAGAGCCCAGTGGGACCCTGGCAGAAAGTTAGAGGAGTGGAATATGAAGGAACCTCTTAAGGACAAACTTAAAGAGTAACTAGGGAAGCAGGGCATGAGGACAAAAAGTGGAAGCGTATTCAAGATGAACATGTCCAACCAGGGCAGTAGGCAGGAAAAGGAAGCTGGGGATGGGAGGTTGTTTCTGAGATTTGTATAAAGGCAACAATTAGAGCTTTTCCTCAAAGCAAAGGAACTGAGAAGCTGAACGACTACAATTTCAGCTGTTACTACTCTCCATGTTAAACATGGCTACAAGAGCAAGGGCAGAACTCAGATCAGCTTCTTCAGTGTATTCAGGTCCTACCAATGAGAGCTGTAGAGGAATTGCTGCTGGCTATGACCTGCCCAGTACTTACCACACTCAGTTGAAATATTTGTGCAGCAAATGTTGGGGTGCAAGTACATACCAGCTTCCTCATCATAGCACTCTCAGGCTGTGTGAATCACAGGACAAAGCCAGATGTAGCAGCACTTTTCTGGCCTCCCCTCTGAAAAGACTCCCTCAGATACAAGAAGACAAATTCACTTTTAAAGTAGCCACAAAAACACACTGTGAACTACACTTGCCTAAAGAAATAGGCAAAATGCCAACTCTGACTATCCCTGATTACTTTTTGATGCTCTGTCAAATGACGGTGGAGGCAAAAATAGGGCTGGCATATTGCTGGTTTTACATGAGAAACAACAGTGATTGCTTTGAACGTGGCTAAAAGTAGAAAAGATAAATTACCAGGCTGCCAGATGCTGTCATGTCTCTGCTTGAAATCAGTCACAACACTGAGTTGTGACAATCGTGTTATGCAGCTTGAAAACACTAGTTCTGATAGCTCTGCCTGTTTTCTTTTCAGAATAGTCTTTGCAGACACAGCTGGCAGGGGCTTCCACAGTGTCAGGTTTATACACTACTGCCAACTCCACACGATTAGAAGGCTGAGGGCCTGATTTCCAGACAATGGAAATAAGTGTTTGACATTCCCCTGTGTCTGCTCCTTCTACACAGACAAATTATTTTAATTATCTATCCAGTGCAATTTTGAGCTACAGAGCTTGCAGGGAACTGGAAATCAGGACTGGATTTACAATGCAAAAATAGTGGATTTTCTTTCCAGAAAGTGAATTTCACTTCTGTCACCAATAGTGGGGCGAGGCATGGAGCAGCTGGATTGCACCATTTCATGTACTGCATATCCAGACCATGGGTTTCAAGTAGAAGGGGAATATAAGTTACCAGGCAAAGAGGGGGAGGACAGTGGTATAGACCAACTGAAACAATACCTGGCAGAGGGACAGAAATTAGGAGACTGGGACAGCTGGACTTTAGTAGAAATGATGATGGTGGTAGTCTCTGCTCATCTATAAAACATCATGTTTTGCTTTTGCCCACCTGGGAGGGCTTTTTCCACTGCTGAACAGTGGCTGAGACCACAGAACTCGGGGGACAACAGGAGAGCTCTCTTCCTGGTCTAGGCTAGTTTTCCACCGGTGCTGCTGCACTCAGGTGCAGCTGGAGCTTGTTGCTGTTGCGCTGGTACCAGCTCCCGGGATGGTTCTCATAGTCCATCAATAAATATTGGCTACCAAAGCCCTGCACCACTTCCTTCATGGATTTTACTGGCTGGCAAAAGCAAAGGCTGGAATGGAGCTCAGCATCTGCATTGTTGAATCTTTGAGTCCACGGCAGCCAAGCCAGGGAAGATGAGAAAGGCCAAGCCTGCTTCTCTACTTTCACATGACCTAGAGTTCTGAGTACCTGTGCTTTACTTAAATACCCTTCTTTTTCAGAGATGAAGTTTTGTGGGCTCTTCCACAAACAGACAAACAGGTTGAAGCACTTCAGGATTTATTGAACACCACTGAGGTAAACAGATCCCTCTGCCTTTCTTGTATCTAGGCCAGTTTCTTCCTCCAGGTGAACTAATACTGCCTTTCTTACCAGAGGAAGATTTAGCCCACTTTTATTCACTTGTTCCAATACAGCAACTCAACAAATGCCTGATTTTCATTGCTCCACTATCTTCTGACTTACATGAGGAGATCCTTTCTTCATAAAGTTGAAGTAATGCATTATAATAGAGCTCAGATTTCTGCAATTGATTTTGTGGAGTAAGACACTGAAAAACTGGCAAAGCACCAACACACAGTAAATAGAAACACGCTTGCTAGGGAGCCTCAGCATTTTAGACCAATGCAGTCTTGACCTATATGACTTGCACAGCTTTGAAGATCAGTACTGGATTTTTATGGTAGTTTTCTTAAAGCAGCATTTAAAAGATAAAAATCTCTTAAGCAATAGCTTTTTTAAAAGTAAACAACCAAAACTCAAAAAGCATTTTAACCTTTCATTAAAGACTAGAGTATTTAATTAAAATGAGCCATCTCTTCCTCTTCAAAAGCATTTGCCCAGCTGCACCCTCCCAGTTTGAAGCCAACACTCTGCAACAAAGTTGTAAATGTTCCATCAACCAACATAATTTACAGTATGATTGAGGATGTGTTACAGATGGATGAAAGCTTTCAGTGGTGCTTATGCCCAGTCTTTCTCTGTCTTTCTTGGCTACTATTTGTTTTATGTCCACCCCAAAATTCTACCAGTCTTCTGCTGTTCCTATTAGCATCTTTTGATCCTTCCCTTTAGTTCTCACAAACCTTGATAACCTTCCTTCCTCTTTTCCACTTCCACAAGTCAATTCACACATCTGTCTCCTTTCTTGTACCAAAGTAAATCTTCCCTCCTCCATTTCTTCCTCATCACCATCATTCTTCACTTCACTCCTGTATGCAGGAGCCCCAAGAAGTCATTAAGAACAACTGCAGTACATTCAGTGCAGAGAGAGCATGTGCTGATTTCTACCAAGTCACTTGTGTGAATACGCAAGCCGAACATTTTTCAAGGGTTATAAACTGACCATTTTTTTCCCATGGCTACAGATTGAGCGAGTTATAAGAAGAGAAAGGGAATGAAAGAAGGAAAGGGAAGCCATAAATAGTGCCTCCTAACAAATTTGAATGGTTCCAATCTAGCAATCTAGCAAAGAAGAAGCATATGAAAATTAGCATCTTACAAGAAGAATTATCAGGCTAATTATAGGTGCTACTCCTGCAGTTGGAAGCAAAAACCTAAAGCAAAGGAAATACTTTGTTCTTGCAGCACACACATTGCACGTAGCCTCCATCAGAAGACCCAGATGCAGTAACACCTACAAGAGAGTCTTTTCTTGCTGCCATGGGGTAGTATTGACCATTGCGATAATAGGTAAAGAAACCAATAATCATACGCATTATGAGAGTTTCCCATTTATCCCCATTCACTGCTCCTCTGCCACCTCAGCTGTGTCAATCCAGAGTTCCTTGGTTTTCATCACTCTCCATTCAAATAATGCCTTCACCTAAGAGAAACTCAATCTGAACTAGTGCATGCTGGTGGAGACAGCAGTCTAGCTAGGGAAACTGGAAAATCAGTGCTGGGCAGCTAAGCATCCAGCTTGCATCTTAGATGGGTTTTCCAAACAATGCTGAGCCATGTGATGCTGCTACTACCCTGCCAATAATATGTGAGGTGATACACTGAGACTAGCTCAACCATTTGTATAGCACACTGCAGTAATATATCCAAATGTTTTCCCACTTACTGTTCCAAAGTGTTGATTAAAAGCATGGATGAGTTTTCTGTAAGATTTTGCAGACACATTCTCTCTGAGGTATGAGTGAGGTAAACAACTGACAACTGCTACATGCCTGGAAACATGGTGCCTAAGTTGAATATAATAATGCAACCACATCAGAAAGGAAAAAAAATAAACCCTTTTGTCTGGCAACTCCGTGTTGTATGTTTTCAAAAATGCATCCAAGGATTATGTTGATCTTTTTCACATTGTGAATTCATAACTAAATTTCTTCTTACTGTCACTCCTAGATCTTTTGGTATTACTGGTTTTAAAGTTTCAGTCTTTTATTGAATATTTTGGCTTCTGATTTTATTATTGTAAAAGATTTAATTTTACCAAGAAGAATCTCATTTTCTTATTTTGCTCCCATTTCTAATCTCTGTATTGCTGCTTCAACTTGACTTATATTCAAACCCCTTCTGGCACTTATTTCCCCCCTGATCAAAGTCATCAGCAAATACAATAACCACAAAGACTAGCCTGATCTTCATTAATTCTCCAAATACCCTCAGGGAAAATAACTCTCAGCAGACTTTAAAACATGTAACATAATAACCAGCTAAGCATATCTATTATACCAGAAATACTATCTCGGAAAAGGTTATGTTCCTGTCTTTGTTCCTGATTTATGAATTTATGTGCAGAAGTTACTATAAACATGTCTTAAACACACACGTTTTATTTCCAGCCGCAGCAGAATGCAGAAACACAACACAGGGAACATTAAACTGCTTGTTACAAGTGGTGTCTTAAACTGAAAACGTATGCTTTGATTATTTTTGAAATACTTCTTAAATGTCAGTAAGAATATTCTTTCTTTCCTAAGTTAAAAAAAAAAAAAATTAAATGCTTTTGGAAACTTTGCAGGTCATTCTCTGGCAACCTGTTGTGGTTGAAAATATCAAGAAGGACAGAGAAGTCCATTTCTATGTCAGGGCATCCAGCATAAATAGCATAAAAGCTCAGTTAAGGCAACTGACCATCCAACACAAGTATGTATTTTTTTATTTGTTGTCGTGAATGTTTCTGTAAAGTTGTTTGCCATTTATTTCACAGGACATTGTGCTCTTTTTCAGAGTCTCACTGGGAGATGTTCAAGGACTTATTGAAAAACAAATAATCAATGACACAGTCAACCCACGCATATCTTCATCATATTATGAAAACTACCATTCGATGAAAGAAGTAAGACATTTTTGTCGTAACCCTCTGTAGATTCAAAGGCTGAAATTTGTCTCATGTTTGAGAATGGAGATAAGGAAAGAAATCATCATCAGGTAAATTATTACCATTGTATTGCTCAGCCACTGAGAGTTGTATTTACTGTAATGCCTTCATAAAGAAAGAAGCCCCAGACAAAATCTCATTTTTGCCTCAAACTGCCATTCACATACAGTTAATAAGGAAGGAAAATGAAGCCACAAAACAACATACAAATATTTTACACATCAAATGAACAGCAATTTAACTAAGTAGAAGTAAAGAGGAATTTCAGGGCTACATTTGGACACTGTTGTGACTGTATCTTAGTGGGGGTTTTATGAGAAATTACAGAGAGAAAAGTGGTAAGTGGGCTGAATTGCTAGTTTTTCTTTCTCATCAGCTAAAGAGGCAGGATTTTGGGAGGAAGAATTAATCTAAGTCTAGACCACGTTCAGGGATGAAGGCAAACAATTGGGATAAGATCAATTTGCTAACTTCAACCTTGCAGATATATTATTGGATGGAAGAAGTAGTGAAAGTCCATTCTGACCTCCTCCAGAAAATATATATTGGATCATCATATGAAAAAAGACCGCTTTATGTTCTGAAGGTACAGCTGTGACTTACTGCAAAACCTGTCCAAGTATTAATGTCAGCAAGTGACGAGGTTTGGCCAGAACACTTTCTTAAATCTATACTTATATGCATATTTTTGTGGGGGTTAGAATTTTCTTAAATTCTTGCAATAATGTGTATTGCATTTGCAAAGGCACTTGACCACATTAGGCTCCTTGTTGGGTCACAAGAAAGTTGTCACATCTAGGCCATCTTCCAAATGCATGAAATACTGGTGTGGTGAATACCCTCCTCTGCTAACTATGAATCCAACCTAGTTTGTTGCCCTGCTTAGTTGGTGACCTACTCACTTGGCCTCAGGTCTTGCTGTAGTCTTGATGCTATGTTAGGAGCTTGCTGCAAGCAGTCTGAACATGGCTCCCTGACTGCATGTGAATATAACTGACAGCAGTATCCTGGCCCAGTATCAGACTAAGCTCTCCTCACAAGACAGATGTTTCTTCTTCCATCTTGGTTACGCTTTTTACTTCTGCTTTCAGGTGGTTCACTT